GCCATGATCTAGTTTATCAGAATTAGCCATGAAACTGGTTTCTCAGAATTAGCCATGAATCGATCTGGTTTATCAGAATTAGTCTTGAACTGGTTTATCAGAATTAGGCATGGAACTGGTTTCTCAAAATTAGCCATGAATCGATCTAGTTTATCAGAATTAGCCTTGAACTGGTTTATCAGAATTATCCATTGAACTTGTTCATCAGAATTAGCCTTGAACTGGTTTATCAGAATTATCCATGAGTCTAGTTTATCAGAATTAGCCACAGACCCGTTCAGATTGAGATTGAAATTGAAACAAGAGGTTGTAATTCACTATTGGAATGTACTGTTGTTGGCTTTTCATTTCTGACGATGGTAGCCGTTTTTTAAGAATACCCCCTACTTTCAAATATCATTATTGGGGAACCTAACTTCTCTACTAGTGACACCAAATAGGCTGTTCTTGTGGGTGTTTAGGTGTAATTTTGAGTTTATAAATATCTATGGGTAATTGTGTAGATTTATGTTAATGATGTACAATGAACTAGAAATTAATCTGTGTTTTCTAAAATTCCTTTTATTGAAATTCACAGATCAAAAAGTACAATAGAAAGCTGGAAATTCTTCTTCATGATTTAGAACTGACAGCTTCTATGGCAATGCTTGCCAATGCATCTTACAAGTACCCTCAAGAAGAACTGTCAGAAATGTGGAAGAAACTATTATTAAACCAATTCCATGATGTTTTACCAGGGAGTTGTATTGCTTTGGTGAGTTTGAAAAATCACCCCCTCTATGGCCATCATATTTTCTGTGAAAATAGAGGGCAGTATAATCATGACGTAAGATTTTTAGTTAGCACCATTGTGATAATGAAACATAAACTGTAATAAAAATAATTACAAACATTACATTTTTTGTTGGTTGAAAATAAATAAAATCAATATAATGCAGTCATAAATATGATGAAGAGATCCAAATCTCATCTTTCAAGTTAGGAAAAGATTTGACATATTTTATTTTTCACAGGTAGTAGAAGATGCATTGCAGTTGTATAAGGAGGTAGAGAAGGTTGCACTCACTGCACTAACTAAAGCTAGAAATAGTCTGTTATCAGCAAAACAGGTAATACTGTAGAATACTTTATTTTCGCTTGGAATTTATTTTCGCTCTTTTCGCTGAAGGGATGATTCCGTGAAAATAAAATCCAGCGAATATACTTTTTTTCCTATAATTCACATTAAACTCATCAAAAATCAGTGAAAATAAATTCCATACAAAACACCCAAAAAGCCTTTTCAGCGAAAATTAATTCCAGCGAAAATAAAGTATTCCACAGTAATCATGTACTGACAATCCTGAGGTTACACCAAGGTATTGTGGGTAAACAATTTTCTGGCATTTCCTTTATTTGTCAATGTTTACATATATTAAGGTTGATATGAATAGATAACACATTTTCTAAAAAAGAAAACAAACATTTCACCTTTCTATTGTACTTCAGAGGTAAACAAAATGAAAAGGGTTCAGATTTTGAACTGACTTGTGTGATAACGAGAAACGAATTTTTTTGGGGGGGACTTGTATATACAGTTGTTTGTCAATGATAACCTTCTCTTTGATCACGGTGTGAGAACTTTTTGTACAATTAAAATGTATACTCTTTCCTGTGTCACCTTAGAACCAAGTCTCTTTGTTAGTTTCAGCTGATACATCATGTGGAGATGTCTTGCATTAACTCTCAGTAAATCATATTGCTTGTACAATTTCAGTCTACTACTGGAACTAAGTTACTAGCATTCAACACGTATTCATGGGAACGAACAGAGGTTGTGAGCTTACCATCAACTGTTGATACAACTGATGAAACACCCATAAAGAAATTGAAAACATCAGTAAGTCAGATTAGAGACAAACAAGGCAAAATGTTAGGTAAGAAAGTTCTCACTCAAATTTGAATATTAGAAAATATACTGCTGAACTAATCCAGATCTTGAGAAGAAGTACAGTAATGTAATTTCTATAACTATGATCAAACTGATGTAATCATCAAGGTTGCACGGTGCATGAAATAGATCTATGTGCACAGATGATAATGACAATTTCAGCCCTAAATGTGTTATAAATAGGTGATTTTCCGTACAATTGCGAGATCTCGCGAGATGCATGAAAGACGCGCGTCAAACGTCTGCCGCAAAAATCAAACGATTTGATTTTGAACTCGAATTTCCTTATTTCATAGCTCACACCGACCGGCCAATCTTCGACAGAAGAATATTGCTTCCGAATACCCTTACTTAATCGAAATTACCTATCATCAAATGTGGACAGCACATCATTAAGCATGGAAATGTCCCCAAAATACTTTCGCGTTTGTCGAATCCCACGCGATGTTTGACGCCACTACGACGCTATGACCTTTGTTTGTCCTGTTTTTACGTTAGATTTCACGCATAACGCGTGATTCTCGCAATGTACGGAAAATGGTCTATTCACTGTGGCTTTTCTTACTCTTGTAGCGGTTATACATGTGCCTTCAATGGGATATAGTGAACTCAAACCTTATGAAGAAAGTCTTTGTAATGTTTGCATCAGTGACAATTCTAATGGTCAAATTATATTGGAAAATGATTCATTGCGAGCTACCATTGATAATGTTGGACGAATTGTATCACTTGTGCACAAAGCATCGAAACGGTAAGTATGACATAATCACTAATCATGCTGTATCGCACGTTTCTGATGACCAGTGTATTGCCATATCATACTCATCAAGGTGTAGGTCAATGCTTATGTTTATGTTTAATACATATTAAATATTTTGTATTTCAATTTGTTTATATCAGTGAAGCCATAGCAACTGGTTGTTATGGTAACCAGTTTGTGCTTTATGATGATGTTCCACTTTTCTGGGATGCCTGGGATGTTATGGACTACCACTTGGAGACAAGGTAGAGTAATGTGATGTTGTCTGTAAAATTATGAGGCACACAATATTTGATTTCAGTAAACAGAGTACAGTCGGAAAACTCTTCTCAATATTGTACTGATAATCAATTTATTTTTCCCTGCCTGGTATAAAACAGTTACAAATGCATGTACATAAATCAAAATTAATGTAAAAGCTACAACTATTTTTCAACAATGTTTTTTTTTATTGAATATTATATATATATTTTTAATTGACTTGTTGTTTAAACATTAAAAGAAATGAAAATTATTAGTTTTAAATCAGTTTCAAATATTCTGAACTAAGTGAACACAATTTTCTATGTAGGTTTTGATAAAAATTTAAGAAAAACATATTTAGAGAAAAATTATGGTGGTTTATTTTGTCGTGAGGGACAAATCTTGTAATAACACTTATTGTAAAACTTTTTTATGTTTGTTGTAATAATTTAATTAGAGATACTGTAAAATCTGAAAATGCAAAAATAAAATTCCAGTGATGTGATCCTATTCAGTTATGATGTACAAAGAATGTGACATAAAATATGACGCACATTTTCAAAATAAAAACAACATATCTCTAATGAGTGCCTGCGTGGTATCACAGTCATGAATTAGAGATTCTATTTACCCCATGTATTCCTTTCACAGCTTTTTGTCATCAGAATTGTATCAAAGCCATAAACTTCATGTATGAGCACATCAAAGGCTTTTTAGCTCATTCTGTAGATTTCATATTAACACTGACCCTTGAATATAGTTTACCAATAATTTATAGACATCGCTAAACAATTTTGGGGGAATCAGGATATTTACCCTTTTAGAGACACTCTGTTAACATTTTACTTTGGAAGTAATTCTATCAGCGAACATTTTCAGGTTTTATGAAACAGCATATATGCGACCAAAACATACATTGTTGCTATAAAACCAAACATTAATATTTACCATATTCCAAACAATTATTAAAAATAATGTATTAAGTCATCAAATGAACCATGTTGTCATATCTTTGGAGAAGACATCACACCTTTGAATTTCGACCAATCAGATCATGAATAACACATTTGATATCAGGGATGGGATATCAAAACTACTCAGTAAGTTGTATGACATGGTCCATGCATGATACATGTAATAAAGTATGATACGTTCCATTTCAGGAAGCCTGTTACAACAGTTAAATCTCCAGCCTACATTGTACAAGATAGTACACTTTCATGTGCGATTGCTGTGTCTTTACAAATATCAGAAAAAAGTTACATTGAACAAACCATATCTCTTGATGCTACATCAAAATACTTGAAATTTGACACAAAGGTGAGTTGAACTACTACGTATTTTACATATTGCCCAGTCCACCAAACATGCAGTACTGTGAAAGGATTAATTATTCACTGGGTTTTATTTTTGCTTATTTCACTGACTGGAAAATGAGCTAAATTAAACCACAGTGAATATGTAAAATTGAGCATAGAACACATTATCTAAATGATAAAACCGTGAATTTAAAACCCATAGAATATGCCTGAAATGGTGAATCAGTGAAATTTAAACCCAGTGAAAATTAGTCATTTTACAGTAGTAGATTTGCTTGACAAATTAACTTTTGGCATATTGATGGGAAATTGTGTTTATTTGGTTAAAATTTGGATAAATGTGGAATCAACAATTTTGGAGAAAGAAATTATAAAATTCAAATCTCAAGAAAAGTATGGCTGGATGATTGAAGATTGGGCTTCCAATTCTTTATTTGAGAATTTTTCCAAATAAAAATAAAACTACATTTTGAATCAAATCTCAGAACTTCATGTGTTTGATTAAAATTGTCCCAAGCATGCCTGAGAAATGGTTGATAACATGTGGCAAACATGGGTGCAAGTCAGTTAAATATCGTCAAAACAAAACAACTGAAGAGAACATTCATGCTATTGCTGGTATATCTTAAAGACAGTTTAAACACAGTCAATGACATTTTAAATTTAAATTGGTTCAGAAATTTTTTCTGGCGATATTCAACCAGTCAGTTGAATATAAATAATAAAATCCAAAAATGCCTAAAAAGAACATGCAACTCATTGTAACAGGCATGAATGCTTACATAGATGTAACCAAGAACATTCAGACTTTGTTCTTAAACCTTCTCTTGTAGGTTGAGTGGAATGAAAATCGCAAGTTTTTAAAAGTTGAAATTCCTGTGACAGTGAGATCTTTACATGCTTCGTACGATATACAGTTTGGTCATCTACAACGACCCACCCATGGTAATACATCATGGGATTGGGCTAGGTATGAGGTAAGATTTGCCATCAGAAACCCATATTGCATGATAGGATTGGACTAGGTATGAAGGTAAGATTTGCCATCAAAAACCCATATTGCATTATAGGATTGAACCAGGTATGAGGTAAGATTTGCCATCTGAAACCCATATTGCATGATAGGATTGGACCAGGTATGAGGTAAGATTGTAACATGATTACTAATTTTGGAGTAAGTTCAAACAGTGACCATTTCATCATCCTTGACATTCTCGGCACTAGCCATGGGTGAAACAAATGTTGAGGTTGGCAGAATTTGAAATGACATATATATAATGACTACACAAACATTTTAGTTAACATCAGAAATATACAAATAATATAATTCTTAATATTACCGGTAATAATTCATGTTAATTTATAATAATTTTATGTAAAAACACCAACATTTGAGATAATGCTGTATTTTGTAATAGTCAGCCATGATGTTAAAAGGTCAATCTTTTTTTGCATTGACCAATCAGATTGCCAGGATTTTTATTACACAGTATGGAGATATAGCAAATTATTACCCTGCTTTATTACACTGAAATGTCATGAAATATAGGGGTAAATAAGGTTATCTATTGAAATAACAGCTTCCTATGAAACTATTATAAATATGCACGTATATTATGTGGGAGAAGGTGGTGCTATGTTAATTGATTCATTCGTCATTTGTGACTTAATGGTCATAGGTAATCTTCATACATTACAGTTTATAATTATATATACTGTTGTATCCCTCTATCTTAGGTGGTTGGACACAAGTGGGTGGATTTATCTGAATACAATTGGGGAGTTTCTGTGTTCAATGATTGTAAATATGGGCACTGTACTCAGAATGATGTAATTAGATTGTCACTGTAAGTATTAAATAAATGTAATATATATTATAGTTGCAGACATAATAAAAAAACATTAGTACTATTACATTATTGTTCTGTTTGAACAATACAACAAGATTCTTTGGAAGTACTATAATGACTGGAATGGTACAGCACCAACAACAATTATAAACTGTTGACGTTCTGAAATATTGTCACTATGGCAATTTCATCACAAAAATAATGTTTTGCTTTCCTCAATGGTGATGTATTGGAAGCACACATCATTGAATTACTGAATTTCATATGTAATGCAAACCACACCCAGCCAGTAAAACTGGCTTATTATCAAAACTGTGCAATAAAGTAATTTAAAACTTGAAGCAAAATGTCATCTTGACTTTTTAAAATTACGTTACAGACTAAAAGCACCCAAAGCGCCAGACCCAGAGGCCGATATGGGTATGCACCAATTTAGATATGCTGTTATGCCTCATACAGGTTGGTATATATTTTTTTGCTTACAAGAATCTCCCC